TATATATATATATATATATATATATATATGTGTGTATGTGTATATGAATGTAATAAATAAAATAAAAGGGTTTCAGATACTATGATACGTGATTGTCCAAATCTTCGTTCACGAATCCTTTGAATAAATATTCAAATAATCCACGTGGATGCGAATATTTTGTGGATGCGAATATTTTTTTTTAGTTTTGTAAAGTTTAATAAAAAATCGGTTCACACTTCACAGCAATAAAATAATAATGCATACATCCCTTAAAATTTAAGGGTATATGTAATTATTTTATGTAAATAATATTTATAATTAACAACCTACTAACGATACAAAATAATCATTGACCGTTATAAAATAACGTGATCTTCCATAACTGATTTTATAAATAAAAAAAAAAGCTTAATCATTAAGAACTAGAATAAATTACGTTTTTATTATAAAATATATTCAAAATATTATAACTACGATTATTTTGAATTATACCAAAAACAGTTAATCTTTAAATTGACATTTATACGATACATTTTTAGTGACTTTCAAAATTTACAATCCAGGTTCAAAATTTGAATATAATAAGAAGTTGAATTGGTAACCAACTAGTAGAAAATGATATATGAATAGATAGGTACAAACAACTTGAAGTATAAGAAAGGAATACTGTATAATCTTGTACGTAAATAATGATATAGAAAATTGCAATGGTGATGAAAGAGGGTGAGGTCATACAAACGGAAAGAAAAATGGAATTAAATAAGTAATGACAGTGATGTGTTGAACATCTATAAATAGAGGCATTGCAAGGTGTAAGAGAGAGAGAGATATTGGAGTGAGTGTTCTTGGTGAAGTGTGTGTGATCATCATAGTCATACAGAGAGATATGGACGTCGCTCGGGTGCTTCGGATGAATGGTGGTGATGGAGATTATAGCTATTCAAGCAATTCTCTTCTCCAGGTATATATATACATACATACATACAGTATTCCTCATATACATACGTATACATATATTTTTTCTATATCTATATATATATATATATGAAGATGATCATATTGATGCAATACTCTTACGTTAAATCTAGCTTTGTTACAATTGAATTATACATGTTGCAGAGAAGGGTGATATCGATAACAAAGCCCATAATTGAAGAAGCTTTGACTGATCTCTATAGCGACTTGAACTTCCCCAAAACCCTAATCATGGCGGATCTTGGATGTTCATCTGGACCAAACACTTTTCTGGTGGCGTCGGAACTCGTTAAATCAATTGACAACATTAGGATCAAATCAGGCTATGATGAACCACCACAAATTCAAATCTACTTGAATGACCTTCCACATAATGATTTCAACACCATTTTTGTTTCTCTACCAGAATTTCAGAAGAAACTAACCAAACAAATGGTCCCCAGTTCTTCTTACCCACTCTGTTACTTTTCCGGTGTCCCTGGATCGTTCTATTCTAGGCTTTTTCTCAGCAAAAGTATTCATTTTGTCCACTCTTCCTATAGTCTCATGTGGCTCTCCCAGGTTCCTCTCTCTCTCTCTCTCTATATATATATATATATATATATATATATATATATATATATATATATCTCGCTCTCCCTCCTCTTTTTGTTTGCATGTATATATGTGCATACAAAAATTGGTTGTGGAAGTAGTCCACATTTTTTTTGTCTCGTAAAAGTGTTGGAAGTTGACATGACAATGCATCGGTTTTTGTTAAACTTATTGAAGATGCTTCGAACATATTTTTTTTATAAGACAATTATTTTTGAAAGTTTTTTTTAAATTATGTCATACAAAAATATTAATATGATGTTTTTTTTAAAAAAAATTGTTCTAAAAAACTTAGAAACACTGAAACCGTTTTATCAACTTAGTGTAACATATTTACATATGATGTATAATTTTTTGGTTTTACAGTTTAAGTTTTATCATGCAGTTTATTAACATATATAACTTCTTATAAAGTTGATTACTTGGAGTGTATGCATGTACATTTGAGTTCAGATCTTCAAGATTATACATATTGTTTACCATATATACATGTCGAAATTGTTGAGCAGGTTCCTGAAATGGGAAACACAAATAAGAGGAACATATACATGTCAACGACAAGTCCGCCAAGCGTGATACGAGCGTACCGTGAGCAGTTTCAAACGGATTTCCTGACTTTTCTCAAGTATCGTGCAGACGAGGTGGTAAACGGAGGGCGAATGGTTTTGACAATACTAGGAAGGCGAAGTGACGATCCTTGTAGCAAAGAATGTACTTACGTTTGGGACCTCTTAGCCATGGCCCTAAATGATATGGTTTATGAGGTACTACCACCTGCTTATCCATTAGACCGTTATTGACCTTTCTTGATTCACTATATCATTGAAATTTTCAAAAACGCCATATCAACTTGTTTCAACGCATTTACATATAAATCATAATCATTTGTTTCAATCAGGGACAGACCCATATAATTAATATAATATAATATACATCTAAAAATAATTACAAAAAATATGGTTTTTTATAGTACCGATAAACAACTCATAAACTTGTACCCGACATGTCTTCATCTTTTGAAAACGGTCAATATATACCCAAAAATAATTACAAAAAGTATGGTTTTTATTGAATTGAGAAACAAATCCTAAATTTTTCCTCGGCGTGTGTTCATCTTTTGGAAACAATCAATGACATCTTCGTTTTTAACATTACTAAGGGCTTCCTTTTCTATGGCACAAATGAGGGCAGAATTCAAAAAATCATCATCAATTCGATTAAGTAAAAGCTGTCTTGACAAGCTTCATCGCTGAAATAAATTCTTAAAACATTTAGACATATTTGTCATCCTTTAAAGTCGATTTAGTTGTAGCCTATTAGCACTACAAAACAAAGAGTCTTCACCGACGGAAAAATTTTGTCAGTAAACTGCCGAAAAATGCTATCACTAGCGTGTCTTATTGTCGGAGTAAATATAGCTGGTGATTGTGATTATTGGTGGATTTTTAATCCCTAATGAACAAATCCGTCAAAAATCCGCCAGTGATCTGCTGAAAAATCCATCGGTTAAGCCTCTGTTTTGTAGCGTGGCCATTATAAACCTTATAACTTTCTTCACTATAATGAACTTAAAATTAGTCTTTAATTTCTTGAAACTAGGGACTCATCGATGAAGAGAAAATGGATTCGTTCAACATTCCACAATACACTCCTTGTGCCAAAGAAGTGAGTAAAGGAGTTGAGAAAGAAGGGTCGTTTGAGATTGATTGCCTTGAGGTTTCTGAAGTGAACTGGGACGCATCTACCGACAACAGTTTGGATTCATCTGAAAAAGATTCACAAGGAATAAATATGGGGAAATGTATGAGGGCTGTGGCAGAACCTTTGTTGTTGAGTCACTTTGGGGAGTCAATGATTGAGGAGGTGTTTAAGAGGTACACAAATATTATCAGGAATCGGATGTCGAAAGAGAAGACGTCGCTCATCAACGTCACAGTTTCATTGACCCGAAAAGGGTTAGGTTCTATGATGTCATAGTCTATGTATGGTCGGGAAAGTTGATCATTTGGATTGGTGTGTTTAGTTAAAACATAATGTTTTTATTACAAGGTTCAATAACAATGTATCCATCTTTTAAACGATAATTATTGATGTTTTATTCAATGCAAACTATTCTTGAGGATTTTGAAAAATATATCTATATATATATATATATATATATATATATATATATACTAGAAGCGTGCTCGCGCAATGCAGCGAGATACATCGTGATTTTAATATTTCATTTTATTATTTATCTCAGTTGATGTTATAATATGACTTTATGTGATTTTAAGAAAACGATTATGTTTTTATTTTTGAATAAAATATATGTTTGAAGATATCATAAAAATTTGACAAAAATATATCGATATTAGTATCAAATTAACTATTTGAAATTTCTCATTTTT